TTTTTTTTTCTGAGTTCTTCTTACATATGCCACTTGGTTCTCTTTGCTGTGGACGTTTTCTTTGCGATATTTAAAAGTATAATTTAAAATTTAATTTCAGGGGCGCCTGGGTGGCTCAGTCGGTTAAGCCTCTGACTCTTAGTCTCGGCTCAGGTGGTGATCTGACGGTTTGTGAGTTCAAGCCCCACACCAGGCTCCAAACTGACGGTGCAGAGTCTGCTTGGGATTCTCTCTCTCTGCCCCTCCCCCACTCGCTGTCTTTGTCTTTCAAAATAAATAAGCTTAAAAAAATAAAAATTAATTCTAAAACGTTAGAGAATAAGGCTAGATAATCCAAATCCAAGAGAGAAAGACAACTTGTCATGTCCCTGAACGTCCACACTTCCATCCACGGATCCCCGGCGTGGAGCAGACTTGCAGGTGACCCTGCCCCGCTGGTGGGTCCGGAAGCCCGTGACGGGTGGGGCCCCGCCGCCGGTGCTGCTCCAGGCTCTGCAGACTCAGAGCCGGAGACGGAGCATCATCGTTTCTCCTCTGGGCTCTGTTCATCAGCACAAATGGGACTTGGTAGCTTGTGTGCATTCATTTCCTGGGACCCCTGCCTGGAGGTTTTGGCCCCGCAGCGCCTGGGTCTGCGGGCAGGTCTGGCTGTCGCGGCCAGCGCGGGTCTCCCCCGGGGACGCACGGCCCATGTCTGCTGCTTCTGTGGGCGGTGCCAGTCCCTAGGGGCTGGCACGCTGGCTCAGGGTGTGAATAGTTCTCAAATAGCACAGACCTTTCGAGTTTCAGTAACACACAGGTAATCACTAACTGTAAAAAGTTTTCTGAGCTCCCTTGTTCTGTTGCACGTGCGCGCGCGTGTGTGCAGCTCTTTGCTGACGCACAGCACGTCTGTAGGTCTGGTTCTACGGTCTGTAGTTCATGGAAGTCAGAGTGAAGTGGGACCAAGAGCCTCGTTTCTGTGCATCATTTCCAAGGCCAGATCCTGCCGCACCTGACAGGCGCTCGCCGCGGGGGACACGGCCGCCGAGGGGTCTAGAACCCGTGCAGCTCGGGGGTGCGCCCAGTACTGGGCGCTGCCGTCCCTTCCCTGTGCCACACCCACACGCACACCCCGCACACATACCACACACATACAGACACATACATCCTGCACGCACACAGAGACACACACACAGATACACACACACACCCCGTGTACACACCACACACACTCTGCATGCGTGCACACACACACATACATCCCGCACGCACACACACGCACACCCCCACGTGCACACACACCCCCCATGCACACGCGCACACACCCCGCGCACACACCCGCACACACACACACTTGCATGCGCGCGCACACATACGAAGTTCTGCATGAACACAGGGTGCTTGTTTGTCACTCTCTGCAGAACACAGAGGAAGGTGTGAGTGCACGCACACAAGCTGAGGGCCACTCGGAAGACCCTCTTGAGGCTAGGTGCCCTCCTGGGTGCAGGGAGGCAGCCAGCCGGGTCAGTGGGAGTGTGTGAGGGGCAGAGCCTTGTCTTCCGGACAGTTGGCACCACGGCCACCGTCAGGCATTCCTGGACCTTCCGCGGTCACTCCTCACTCCGCTGGCCGCGCTCACACTGCCGGTAGCAGGGGCACCGCGTTCACCTGGGCCGTCGGTGTGAATGTTGGGATTTGAGGTCTGTTTATATGTGGTGAAGTTTTTAGTGCCAGGGCAAAGGCTGCTTCTGAGTTACTTTCTGGGTGCTTTTGGGCACAGCCCCGTGCATCGTGCCCTCTTTCTCAGAGCAGAGACCTGGCTTCCTGAAGGTATCATTATCCAGTGCCCCGAATTCAGTCCTGGCCTGCGCTGGGCCAGCGGGCTTCTTGTGAGCAGAGGCGGCGGCCGCGGGCGTCTTGCCTGCCCCGGCGCGTTGTGACCGGGATGGCTCCAGGCCAGCTCCGTGGGGGGCACTTGGCTACAGCCAGGCATCCGCTGTGGGACTGTCCCCACGGTGCCCCTGCTCTCCCTGCTCTCCCACGCCCACTGCTGTGAGAGCAGCTGGTGGGTTTGGGGCCAGAAGGAAGCCGGTGGCCTGCGGTGACTGAGGTCAGCTCCCCAGCAGGCTGTCAGGTGCCTGGGCTCGGCGCCCACAGGGTCAGACACATGTCATTGGCCAGTGGCAGCCTCAACCCTCCCGCAGCCCCCTCTCCAGGAAGGGGCGGCCCTGTGGAACGGGTGACAAGGTTCTGTTTGAGGCGCTCCCCTCCTTTCGGGACCCAGGACCGCAGGAGGGGAAGTTGGCAGCCCCCAGGGGGGCCCAGTCACAATTCTGGGACTTTGTCTGAGAAGCAAAGAGCGAGGCTTCAGGGCCTCATCTGAAAGTCAGCAGCCCCGAGGCCTCGGAGGGTGCCCCCAGCCCTGCCCGCCGCATCACCCCTGCCCGCCGCGTCACCCCTGCCCGCCGCGTCACCCCTCCCCGCCGCGTCACCCCTGCCCGCCGCGTCACCCCTCCCCGCCGCGTCACCCCTGCCCGCCGCGTCACCCCTCCCCGCGGCTCTAGGCCCGTAGGGGAAGGGCCTCGTGATGCCTTCGGAACGTCCCTTTCCACAGCACCAGTCAGTGGAGCAGGAAAGAGGCACAAAAGTAGCGCCCAGCCCCGACCCTAATCCTGATCCTGTTTCATCACGGAGGGGACACTGGTCACCCTCTCTGGAGTGACAGGAACCCAGCACGTCAGCTGAGCCCCCTGAGGGGACACACCGGCTCCCGGGACCAGAGAGGGTGTGGGGTACAGGGGTCCCAGTAGGGCGGGGCTCTGGGTCTGTCTCATCCCAGGTCGTGCCCCCCTGACCCCTGCACCCCGGGCAGTGGTGCTCAGGCAGCGTTTTCTGGGTGAGCGGGTGAAAGAAGAGGCTTTTGTCTCCTCGACTCCCCTGGAAAAGCCCCAGAAAACCTCCGTGCCCCAGCCGGGGCCGCATCCCCACCCCCTACCCCCCCACCCCCTACCACCCCCCACCCACCCCTAACCCCCGCCCACCCCCTACCCCCCCACCCCCTACCACCCCCCGTCCACCCCCTACCCCCCTCCCTACCACCCCCCGCCCACCCCCTACCCCCCACCCCCTACCACCCCCTGTCCACCCCTAACCCCCCCACCCACCCCTTACCGCCCCACCCCCTATCCCCCCTGCCCACCCCCTCCCCCCCACCCCCTACCACCCCTCGCCCACCCCTAACCCCCGCCCACCCTCTACCCCCCCACCCCCTACCACCCCCTGTCCACCCCTAACCCCCCCACCCACCCCTTACCGCCCCACCCCCTATCCCCCCTGCCCACCCCCTCCCCCCCACCCCCTACCACCCCTCGCCCACCCCTAACCCCCGCCCACCCTCTACCCCCCCACCCCCTACCACCCCCTGTCCACCCCTAACCCCCCCACCCACCCCTTACCGCCCCACCCCCTATCCCCCCTGCCCACCCCCTCCCCCCCACCCCCTACCACCCCTCGCCCACCCCTAACCCCCGCCCACCCTCTACCCCCCCACCCCCTACCACCCCCTGTCCACCCCTAACCCCCCCACCCACCCCTTACCGCCCCACCCCCTATCCCCCCTGCCCACCCCCTCCCCCCCACCCCCTACCACCCCTCGCCCACCCCTAACCCCCGCCCACCCTCTACCCCCCCACCCCCTACCACCCCCNTTGGAGCCATTTTAACCAGATTCTTCTGGTGGGATGAAACTCGCTGATGCAGGTTTGGGCCGGCACAGCGAGTGGATGGGGAGTATTGGCTAGAGCTTCCTGCTGCTCTTCTGCGCACCCCCTGCCCCCCCCCCCCCCCGCCCCCCCCCCCCCCCCCCCCCCCCCCCCGCCCCCCCCCCCGCCCCGGGCAGGCACTCAGCTGGGCACCCCCGCCCGTGGGTCGGCTCCGCCTCATTTGGGGGCTCCCCCTGGGCCTGCTCAAGAGCTGACCGAGTCAGGTGCTAAAGGGCACCCCAGGGGCCACGCAGGGGAGTGGGCGGAACGCCAGAGCCAAGGGGCACCTGAGATGGGAGAGAAGGACGTGTTATCCTGCGTTTAACAAAACCAGGCGACAGGCACGACCGTGCGCTGGCTCCAGTGGAGCGGACGGGGGGTCGCGTCCACCTTGTGCTGCGAGTGTGTGCGCGTGTGCGAGTGATTTCCCAGCACCTTCGAACGCCTGCCTGGCTTGCAGTCTCTCTCTCTCCTCTGTCTTTCTCTGCACGACCGTGAACGCCGCCACGTATAGAAGCATCGTCACTTTTGCTCTGGGTTCCTCTGGGCCCTGGAGACTCCGGTCCTTCCTGCCCCGGCCAGTGCAGAGGCCTGAGGCCCGGGTGTGGAGGGAGGGGCCCGGGGGGCCGGGGCGGGGCAGGCCCTTCAAGGGAGGGGCCTCCTGCAACAGAGCACCGGCACTTTCTGGGGGATGGAAGCCGGGCTGAGGGCTGAGAAGATTCTAGAGAACAGATTCGGGGATGGCAACCCCTTATAAGCACCGTCCGTCAGGCTTCATTTGAGGAATTGTGATGTGTTCGTCTGGCCCACGTCCTTCACCGGCTGCGTGTCGTAGTCTCGTTCTAGAAACAAACCCCTTGTTAAGACTGGGGGTTGAAGTGACAGCAGAAGGCTGTTACTGTACCCCTTCGGGGTTTCCAGACACTTTCCCGAGCTCACGTCCCACAGCTTCGGGGTTTTATCATCTGAGGCGGAAACAAGGAGATTAGAATCTATTCTCCCTCTGACCCCTACGCCCCGCCCTCCCGGAGCCCCTGGTCTGTGCGTCTTCCCACCACGGGGGCTTTGGGCCTCGACGCCTGGCTTCCCCACAGGACGCTGTCCCCTGGGCCCTGCAGCCCGGCGGCCCTCGGAGAAGTGGGCTGAAACGCAGAGGGGGTCAGGACGGTCGGGCTCCGAGCCGCGTGAAGATTCCGTAGGGGGTTGGGCCTGGGAACAGCGATGCTTCCGCTCACGCCCGCGCCTCTCTCCCCGCAGAGGTCGGACCCGCAGCTGCTCGCCAAGTTCTACTATGCGGACGAGGAGCTGAACCAGGTGGCCGCCGAGCTGGACAGTCTGGACGGGCGGAAGGACCCGCAACGGTGCACGCTGCTGGTCAGCCAGTTTCGCTCCTGCCAGGTGAGCGGCCGTGGGGCCGAGGGCCCGTCGTGGGGGAGCCCAGGCCCCGCCACCTGCTCACACCCTGTGAGCGCACCTCAGGCCGGCCTGGCCGACGCGCCGGGCGCCCCCTGGTCCAGCCACGCACCGGGCCTGCGGGACGCACGACCCTGAGCAGGACAGCGTGGGGAAGACAGCCAGTCCCGAAGTGCAGATTGCGCAGGGCACCCTTGCCTCGCAGGTGAAGGGGGAGGTGGGGCGAGCAGGAGCCAGCAGGGTCTCAGCCAGGAAGCAGCTAGCAGGGGAGAGGGACCGGGCTGCGGGCCAGGCTCGGACTCTCGCCGTGTTGCACGGTTCAGAGCCGGCCCAGGAAGCGACACCAGAAATGTCCTCCAAGTTAGCCAGTGACCGCTGTGAGCTCATGAGGCGTGGTTCAGTGTTGTCAAGTGACAGGCAGGGTCTTTCACAGAGTTCCAGAACATTCTTGGTACATTCTGCCCACAAGTCTCACTGGACCGTCTCTGCCTGGGAGCAGGGCTGGGGTGCGCTTCCCAGATCCCAGGGGGGGGGGGGGTGGTTCCAGTGTGTGTTTTAAGCATCAGGGCAGTTAGACAAGGATTTTGGTTCTTACAAGAAGGCCCTGGCCGGCCCTGGAGTGACCGGGAGCCCCTCCCCTCCCCTAGGGGGTCTCTGGACTTGCTGGGCTATTGATGCCCCCCCCCCGAGAACATCCCTCCTCGTGCCCGCGGTGCGCTGACCGTGCAGCTTGGGGGTCTCTCTCTGGCGCCCCCGCCTGCACCCCACCTGTCCCCCCTGCCCTGCAGGGGACTCCCTGATCTGCTCCGGCCCGTCCGCTGGCTGGTGTAGCTGCAAGTTACACACCTTGACCTGATGGGTGGCAGCTGCATCGGGTGCTTTGCGGAGCCTTGACAAGGTGACAGCAGAAAGGAAACCCGCTCTAGAATGAGGCGAGGGCAAGGCGACGTTCTTCGAGGAACACAAAGCTAAAAGGACCTTGCGCTTCTACAGCAACAAGAGCGTCTTTAATTTCTCCCTCCTCTCTTTACGACCCCCGGGTCAGGGTCCAGGCCCGGCCCAGGTGCCGTGACTCACTGGGACACAGGACGCGGCAGAGTTGTGCCCACGACTGGGACTCACCCCAGTGGAAACAGAGCAAGGTCAGCACATGTGGGGGGCCGGCCGCCAGCATCCTCTCCCAGGAGTCGGGTGGGGTCTCGCCCACCAGGGCGCGCATCCGAGACACAGAGCAGGGCTCTGGCCCCTCTCCCTGGCGCGGCCCAACCACAGACCCCGGGAGGAAGGTGTCCGCAGGACACGGCGTTGGCGTGAACAGGTGAGGCGCGGGGGCTGCCCTGGTCACCAGCCGGGGGCCCGGACGCCCGCCCGGGGGGCTCTGGAGGGCCTGCTGCCCGAGCCGCTGCACCCGGACAGCACAGGGAGAAATCGCGGGTCCCGGCTGCGTGCTCTGCCCCCCGTCCGGGAAGGAGGGGTTAGCAGTGCCTTCGTGTACGCGCCACGATTTTATGGAGACTCATCGTGGTAACATATTTAACTGGCTGCTTACTGGGGCCCCGTGGGCTGTAGGGCTCCTGCCAGAGCAGATTTCGACAGAGCTCAGGCATTTAGGTTGGAAAGTGCTTGTCATTTCTAAGATCTGTCTTAAAGTGGGGCATTTTGTCTTTTCTGATTTGGCTGCTGTTTCCCACTCAATGAGACTATCATGGTGCTGGCGTGTTCGTCTGATTGTCCATCCATTCCCTCACTCATTCCTTCGTTCAGCAGCAGGCACTGGAGGGTCTGCCTCTGTGGAGGGTGGACAGGGTCACAGAAGGAGGCAGGCTGAGCGGGGGCAGGGTTTGCCAGGTCGCGGGAATCAGGGAGGGCAGCTTGTCCACAGGCCCATGTGCCATTGCCACGCGCAGTCTGGGGAATGGCAGTTAACGTGATCGCAGCCCACTCTGCAGGGCCACTTGGTGGCCTTGATTTTATAACACTCTCATCCTAAGCAGGTCACTGGAGGCCAGATTCAAGGGCCCCAGGCCCCTGACGTTCCTTGGCCACCAGGGACAAGCAGCTGGAAGCTGTGACTTTCTCGGCTTTGAGGCTGGTGGCCCGGCCCTGCCCACAGGAGCTCTCCTCGGCCCCCTGCTGTCCGACCCTGGCCTCGGTGATAGGTCCCTGAATCTCCCTGTCTGGGTGTCTCGGGGCCCCTAGGCCCCCTGGACTCCAGCACAGACCTCAGCAGAGCGTGGCATCTGTGTGGGGCACGTGTGGTGGCACCGGCCTGGCCTGGCTCAGTTCTCCAGGGGCCCCTGGAGGTGTCCACGTGTGGGTCTCTGGCTGGGCGCCATTCAGTTCTGTTCGAGTCTGTGCTCTGGCTCCAGGGTGGGGGTACATTCAGGGAGCCCGGTCTTCCTCAGGGCACGGAGGGCCTCCACAGAGGCACTCGGGGGTGGCCTTGCTGCTGGGAAGTCTGATTCCTCTCACCAGTGAGTCCTGGGGGCCTCACGCACCCCGGGTCCAGCCAGAACGGGAGCCGGTGCTCCACGACCATCTGCCTGCTCAGCTAGCAGTTGACAGGTGCTTGGCGTGCACGTGGGAGCCCGGTGGGCTGTGGCGCCCACGAGACCGCAGCAGGTGAAGGGCAGGTGAGGGGCAGCCAGTGCTCAGCTGTCGCCACTTCTCTCCCATGCGGCCTGCTCACCAGCTCCAGGCGGGCTGGGGGCTTCTGGGGCTCTAGAACACGGGAGGCCCATCCACATCCATCCCGAGCCAGCAGACTTCTCTTGAATGAAGGTGTGTTGCAGGCCCTACCCCTGGGGTGTGGGCCCTACCCCTGGGGTGTGTAGTATCTTTTTAAAAATGTTTTTTGCTTAACATTTATATATGTATATATTTTAACATTTATTTAGTTTTTTGAGAGAGAGAGAGAGAGAGAGCGGGGGAGGGGCAGAGAGAGAAGGAGACACGGAATCTGAAACAGGCTCCAGGCTCTGAGCTGTCAGCACAGAGCCCGACACGGGGCTCGAATCCACGAACTGTGAGATCATGACCTGAGCCGAAGTCGGCTGCTTAACTGACTGAGCCACCCAGGCGCCCCAACATTTATATATTTTTGAGACAGAGACAGAGAGAGACAGAATGTGAGAGGGGGAGGGGCAGAGAGAGAGGGAGATACAGAATCCGAAGCAGCTCCAGGCTCCGAGCTGTCAGCAGAGCCCGACATGGGTGGGCTTCAAACTCACAAACTCAGATCATGACCTGAGCCGAGGTCGGACACTTTACTGACGAAGCCACCCAGGCGCTGCTGGGGTATGTAGTATCTTGAACTTTGCTGACCTGTAATGGGGTCTGTTACATAAAGTCTCCAGGAAAATGCCAGGTACAGAGTAGCTGCTCTAAAACCAGTAGCCTCCGGGCGCCTGGGAGTTCAGTCAGGTGAGTGTCCAATTGAGGTCGCTTAGGTCATGATCTCGTGGTTCGTGGGTTCAAGTCCTGCATTGGGCTCTGTGCTGACAGCTCAGAGCCTGGAGCTGCTTCCAATTCTGTGTCTCCCTCTCTGCCCCTCCCCCACTTGTGCTCTGTCTCCCTCCCTCTCAAAAATCCATCAACATTAAAAACATTTTTAAAAATACTTTAAAAAAAAAAACCAGTAAGCCTCCTTTTTTCTTCTTACAAGAGCGATACTGTGAGAAGCACGTGGGCTGTTTGCGAGCCCGGCTCTCCGACGGCTGCCCATGGGGAGAGGCGGGGCGAGGTGGCAGGGGTGGGGGCTGAGAGCGGCTAGGGTGGAGAAGGCCCAGGACCCCATTGGTGGTTCCGCCTGGCTGGTCTGACCGTAGGAGGCTGAGTCATTGGTTTTCACAGAAATGACCTTCTTCATGAAAATTGTGGACCGGGGCACACGTGAGTGTGCAGATGGGTTTCGGATGGCATTTGTGTGTGTTCTCTTGCTCGGTTCAGAAAACATAAAGGATTAAAAATCATAGCTCCGTAGGACGAAGTGAATCCAGGACTGTGGTGAGGGCTGAGCCGTGCCCCCCACCCCCCATTCATACATTCAAGTCCGAACCCCAGTCTTCAAAGACATAGTTAAGGGAACACGAAGTCCTACGGGTGGGTCCCGATCCGGCCTGACCGGTGCCCTTGTAAGAGGAGGGGAGTGTGGGGCACAGACACGCAGAGGGAGGCGGTGCCGGGACACGGGGAGAGGACAGTCGTCCCCCCCCAGGAGGGAAACCAACCTGCCCCCGCGTGGATCTCAGACTCCCGCCTCCAGGCGGAGAGGAGTAGCCGCCGGCTGTGGTGCTGTGTTACCGTGGCCCCAGGCCACTAGTGCCGTGGGATTTGGGTTTCGTGGTGCAAATGGGCTTGAAGTTGCTCTGGGCTGGACTGTGTCATCGACCCGTTTTCCTTCAGTCACACTGTAACTTTTGGGTGTCAAGGGAGTATAATTTTAGATGCTTCAGCGAAGAAAATTAAATGGCACAGTGTGCTAACGGACCTAGTACCCAAGCGTGGCTAGTTAACGGGGTCACGGTGGGAGCACGCGCGCCTGGCCGCAGCTCTGTGCTGTGACGTTGGAGGTCTCCCCGTGGACATGGCCGCACCTGGTGAAGGGCACCCCCAAACCTCCCCGTGCGGGAAGGTGCTGGCGCCCACCGAGGCACGGTGGGTTGTCGGGGAGAGAGGGGTCCCTGGAGTGCCCTCCGTGCAGACCCCAGCCTCCTGCCCGCTGGGCGCTGCCCCTGGGTGCGTGTGTGGCCAGATGTCTGGCCAGGAGCTGTCCCCCAGGGAGGCCGGAGGCCGGGGGAGTCCAGGAGGGCTGCTCAGCTCCGCGGCAAGGCTGGGGTGCCCCTCAGCACCCTCTCCTCGCAGCGATTGCATTGTTTCCGTATTGACTGTTGAGCGTTCCTTACATACTCCGGACCGCAGCCTGTGTCGGACTGTGACGTAGTTATGTGCTCCCGGCTGGGGCTCGTCCTCTCATCCTCTGTGTG